AGAGAGAGAGAGAGAGAGAGAGAGAGAGTGAGAGAGAGAAAAGAAATAGATAAATATAATACAAAACTTTAATATTAGATGAAAATATTTAGGAAAAACAAAATGCAGTTTTTCAATAATGATTTTATTTATTAATGGAAAAAAGTTATGTCTTAATATCATCTGGGGCTTCAGGACCAGGACAATTTCCTGTAATTGTTACTGTAGTTGATGGAACTGTGAATTCTGCTCTCTACCAGAAAATCGGTAGAATGTCTGGCCACGAGTTTATGACCTAAAGCCCAAAAGCTCACTTAGGCTATACCAAAGAAAAATGATAATGAACACAACACCAAGTCTACCCCCGAGTGACTCAAAAAAGCAAAACATATCTAAAAAATTTGAGTGGCCTAGTCAAAGTCTTGATATAAATTTGAATAAGATGCTTGACATGACATTACACAGGTTTATGATTTTCATTAAATTTAATTAATCATTTACAAACTAAATTTTGCATTTATTTGGATTATCTTTATCTTATATCAAAATGTATTTAATGATCTGAAACATTTAAGTGTGACAAATGTGAAAAAACTATGAATTGGGAAAGGGAGAAATATTTTTTCACCACCCTGTATATGTATAGGCATAGATTCAAAAACTGAGAAATAAATGAGTAAGTAATAAGGTAAAGTTATAAATAATTCATTGTGTCTAATATTTGATCTTCCTGTTATAATATTAAAAATTATGAAACCTAAGTTGGATTTTTGTTCATTAAATATTTCTTGGTGTTTTTCTCGGGGTTAAACAAAATTATAAAACATTTTGGAGCAAATATACACATTATTAGTCCAAAGCTGGAGGACAGAATGGCAAAAATCTCAACAGCCACAGTGAATTTCCCAGGAGAGCTGACATATGCTGGGATAAAGGTGATCCACACTGTACAGAATATCAGCATGCTGATGGTGATAAATTTAGCTTCATTGAAATTGTCAGGTAATTTGCGGGCTAAAACAGCTAAAACAAAGCAAAAGGCGGCAAGTAGGCCTACGTAACTGAGCACAGCCCAGAAGCCAACAGCAGAGCCTAATGCACATTCCAGTATGATTTTCTCCTTGTATGCGGTTAGATTTTTAATTGGGAATGGAGGGCTAAGTACCAACCAAATAGTACATATTAAAACTTGAATAAAGGTGAAAGACACAACAGTCATTCTTTGTTGTGGAGGACCAAACCATTTCAT